TATGAGATCATGTATGACAAAACTTACCATTCCTATCATTTGATCAACCATGAGATCTTCTATGATAGGATTTTCTGCAGGGTTGTGTTCCTGCTCAAAATGAAGCAACATTTAAGTGATCCATGATTTTCTTGTGGTGCTATATGACAAAACTGAAACATCTTCTGCAAAAACATACCTGAGTAATGACAGGGTCTTCATCTTGCACATGTTGCTTATCTGGTGATGTTGCTTCATGAGTTACTTGTGCTGCTGATGGTGCTTGCATATTTGGAGGAGGTACTCCCGCCTTCAGGTACTTGCATCCTTTAATGTTGTGATCTGGCTCTCCACAGTAGTTGTAGTGCATGATGACACCATGCCTAGACATTTTCTTGCCACCATTACTACAAATTACTTCACCTGGTGCTTTTCTTCTGCTTTTGCATGACCTGCCTACTTGCTTGGTGTACAATGGTGGCAGAACTGGTGGCCCATTCATCTTCTCCCATTCTGTCATGTCTCTACATGGATAGATTATGTTCTTGTATGCCATTTTGAACATGTTCACAGAATAGCATTGGTTCACCAATGAAAGAGGGTCAACTCTTTCATGTCTAGCACATGCTATGGCATGTACACAAGGTGTGCCACTCTTTTGCCACCTCTTACGGCTACACTCATTGGTGTGCCAGTCCACAAGGAAGTTCACACTCTTGTCACCTATCTAGAACACCCCATCTCCAGCTCCCTCCACATAACACAGGTTTGCCCACTCAGTTAGCTTCTCCACCTTTTTCTTGATCTTTGGACAAATATTTCCTTTCATCTTCTCTGCCTCAAGCTGCTTGTTGTAGTGCCTCTGCATCAGTTGGCCTTTGATCCTTTCTAGAATAGAAAGTATAGGTAGCTCTCTAGCATGTAGTATGTACCTACAAGTATAAGACAAAACTGAGTTAAGTGTCAAACATTGAAGTAAGAACATGCACATAGCAATTTAATTGGCTTCTCACTTGTTGAAAACTTCACAGTTATTGTTGAGCAATATATCACACTTGGGAAGATCACTTTGAAATGCTCTAACCCATGTGTATGGTTCCAACTCATGCAACCACTTGTAAGCATCCAAGCTGATGTCCTTCATCTCAACCATGTACTGCTCATACTTGACAGAGGTGGTACTTCTTGCTATCTTCCAAAGTTGATTCTTAAGAACATCCCCTTTGAATTGTTGCTGAAAGTTCTGCCACATGTGTCTGACACAAAACCTGTGTTCTGACTCTGGAAATAACTCATCCACAACATTGATAAGGCCCTACAATAACAAAAGATAAACATAAGCATGGACTACTAAATATGGAGTACTACTTATACTACAATTGATGTTGTTTACCTTTTGTTTGTCTGACATAATGGTCCATGGAGCAGTATTAAAGATAGCAAGATTATTCTTTAGTCTTTCAAGGAACCAGCACCAACTAGGCTTGTCTTCCACTTCAACTACAACTACTGCAATTGGAAAAATACAATCATTTGGGTCTATCCCAACAGCAGTGAGTAGCTGTCCTCTGTACCTTGTCTTGATATGACAGCCATCAAGGAATATCATAGGCCTACATCCTTGCAAGAACCCTCTTTTGCATGCATCTAGACACATATAGGCTTTATTAAACCTTGCTTGACTATCTAGTGCAACAAAGAATGAGGTCCCAGGGTTACTTCTTCTCAACTCATTACCATAGTCCCAGAGCATCTTGTATTGGCCTTCTTCATCACCATAATTTTTTTTTCATTACTAGCCACCTAGCTCTTTGTAACTTGGTCCTGCTTGGGGTCATATGCCACTCCTTTTGAACAACTCTAGAAAAGTTTCTCAAATTCATGTCTTGGTCAGCTCTAAAGCTCTCACTTCTGTGCTAGAAATGGTGCTATGAAAGCCTTGATCTTCCACTTCTTGGTACAAGTGTGCTCATCCACATATTTCTTGACCATGAAGCACTTGGTCCTGCTATCATATGAAGCCCAAAGATACCAAGTACAGTCCTCATCACATGTTGCCTTCACTCTTTTCTTATCATTGACTGGCAACTTCACATCTACCCTGTTTTTGCAGCAGTACTCCTTGATGGCTTTCCTCAAGAGCTCAACAGTTTGGAAAACTTGACCAACATGAAGCTTGGGACAATGAAGATCCTCTGGTCTAAATGCCTTGAACTTCATGAATACCTCTTCATCATCAGAATCTGGTGCCCACAAGTCATCACCCTCTGATTCATAGAACTCATCTTCATGATCATATGCTGCTGCTTTATCTGCATCTTTCTCATTTCCTTTCACAACTTCTTTTCCCTTTTGAACATTTTGCTTCCCTTTCTCTTCTTTCTTCTTCTCTGTCTCCACAGGCTCATCCATGTCTACATTATCAGCAAACAAATTATCATCACCATCACTTATGTCATAGTCACTATCCACTATGGCTCCAGGATCAAAGTCAGAGTCATCTGAGTCAGTATCAGCATCTTCCAGGTAATCAGAACTGCATTTCTGTCTGGTTTTCCTTTTGCATACACTTGATGATCTAGCTTCATCACTTCCTTGTCGTTTTTCCTCCAGCACTACATCTGGAGCCATAACATTTTCATCCTGCTCACCAAAAGAACAATTCCTCCTTGCAAACACATAATTGCCCACATTAACATCTGAGCTCTCTGGATACACAACTTGTATTGGGATTGCTTCACCTTCAGGTACATGAACATCTGTCTCTGCATTTACAGCCTCAATACTTTCTGCCTGATCAACTCTTGTCTTAGAAGGACTAAACACTGGAGGTAGCTACACTCTTGGGAAATTGACCACATCATCATCATCATTGTTTGAATTCAGACTGTCTTCATGGTCTAAGTAGAGACTGAATGAGTGGTGGCCAAGATCAACAAATGTTATCATCTGGTTTGCATCTCCATCTCCTCTTATTTCTCTCAAGCTACTCTTCTGCAAGGTTAGGATTGGAATGCAATAGTAAACCTTGAGCCTTCCTGCCATCTCCCAACCAATCTCCTCAACTAGGTGCTCAACCATGATTGGGGACCATGTCACTGTATCCAGATCATCATACCACAACACATGCCCATTGGCATAAGAACGGTTGCTACCTTTGCCAAGGAAATATCCACCCATGGTTAAATTGAACTGAAAATTTCCTGCTGCGTGGTCCTACAAAGATGAAAACAGAGCACAATTCTGTCAACATATATTACAAGGAACCACCTTTCCTAACCTAAAACCCTAACCGTATGTTCAAACATCTAAAAGGCCTACAATTGCATCATAATGACCTTCAAGCAAACACTTAGCCCCCAATTTGTCAGGCAAAAACCATACACCGAAAACCCCCAATTTGCCAGGCAAAAACCCAGCTTAAATCTTGTGAAATCTTGCAGGCAAAATTGGCCTCCTACATCTCCATGTGCACAATGCGAAACCCTAAATTGCGCAATCAGAGTCTGCAAGCACCAATCATGGCGGATGTAAGTGGGGCTTACCATAGTACGGTGGAGGAGCTCCATCTGGTTGACGAACAGGGGCCATCCTGAGGAGGATGCGGCGCCCCTCCGGCAGCGACGCGATGCGGCGCACCTCCGCGGCAACTCCGGCCCTTCCGCGATCTCGATGACCGGAGATGGTGCGCTACCGCCGACGATCGCCTCCTCTGCTCTCCTCCTCCTCCCCATGTTATGATCGAAGCCGAACAGGCAAGACGCTTTCGGCTAAAGCACAGCGAACCAGGGGGGATTCTGCAAAAACACCACTCTACCGCCTGCTTAATGCCAGCTGGCGTCTAGGATTGGTCACACGTGGTCAAACCGAGCGGCGACGGGTGGCATACGAGGAACAGTGACCGTACAAACACGTCTTGTCGTATTGGGTGACCGTATTGGCCGTATTTTTAGGTACAGTGACCAAAGTGAGCGCTCTTCGCAAGTTCAGTGACTGCCAGTGCATTTTACTCATTGAAGAATATTCTTTCTCCAGCCAGTCTTGACCGTGGGTGGGCGGGGAGCTCCTATGTCACACTTGATGCGGCAAATTGTCTAGCAACCGCACATGAGTAACTGCAGGCCCGATCCACTTTAGCGATCAGCTTTGTGCGTACAGTTCTCTCTGTTTTTTCTTAGTTTATATTATTTTTACAATTTAATTATTTTTCAAAGTGAACTTTTTTTGAAAATTTTGTGAACATTTATGAAAAAATAAACATTCCTCTGCATTTTGTAAACATTGTTTAAATGATGAATATTTCAAAAGTTTGTAACATTTTTTTTAAAATTTGTGAACATCTTTTAAATTTGGAAACTGCGAATATTGTTTTGAAAGTAAACTAAAACAAAAGGAACCTTCTAGAAGGCTCACAAAATCGGTAAAAATCAGAATCTGAGCAATTTATCTGGCCGAAATCGTATCGTTAGGTTTGCTGGCTTGTGCGTTTGGTAGACAAACTGGCGGAACGAGCGTCATATAGGGATTTCCGTGGTAGCGCTTCCGAGAGACAGGCACGTTATAGAAGATCTGAGTATACATGCACGTTATAGAAGAATCATAGTACTCCATTTCGCAGTATAAAATACCACTTCGCAGGGTGGCTATTACCTTTGACTTCCAAGATTCCCACTTCTAGTGTGATTTGGAGCTCGATCTAAGCTCATGGATCTACGGTGTAGTGGTAACCGACAGCCGTAGATGTCAAACAGCTTAAAATAATGCACGTTGGCAGAAGAATCATAGTTATGTGAGGGGAACAGAGGCCACTGAAAGCTCAAGATACTAGCACTACACTGGAACTGCACCAACCCCACGAACTAGAAGAACTTAACGTAAATTGGCTAGCTGCTAGGAACACGAACACATAAATGCACAAATATGCACCACTGCAAGCACAACACTGTCAATCATGAATCATCCATCAACTGCATATGACTAGTTGATTATTACTCAGTACCAGCTGGATCGAGGCGGCGCGGTCAATAAAATGGGCAATGCTGTCCGGCGGAGGGGCCGTAGAAGAGGACGCTGGTGGGGCAGTAGACGCCCTGCAGCCCCGCCGGCGGCGAGGTGACGGTCTCTTTGACGAGCGAGAGCCCGATCCACTTGTTCGGCGGGTAGACGGGCTTGTCGCAGAGCGGCGTCGGCGACGTGCCCAGGTACAGCTTGCAGTTGCGCGCGTTGAAGTTGGCCAGGTCGTAGAACATCACCAGGAAGTAGCCGCGCTCGTCCGACACCGTCGCCGTCACGTTCACCACCTTCTTCCCGTAGCACACCAGATTCACCGTTGCACCTGCGTTTATGGATCGAATGGATGCATGCACGCATGAGTTTAAGACTGAGCAGGTTAATTAGGTACTCCATGCCGAGGCGACGGAGTAGGCGAGAGAGATCTACGGGCAGTGCGAACCTTGGATCGGTGAGGCGTCCATGCCGCGGTTGTAGCCCCTGGATTTGCATGACTTGCAGTAGATCACGCCCTGCACGACCACGAAAGGTGGCACCGGCTGGACAGGCGGCGACGGGGACGGCGACATGTTGGTGTCATTGGCTGGCAACGGGGGCTTGGAAATGGCACTGGCCGGCTTAGGCGGCGGGGGCGTCGGTGCCACGGCCGAGTAGTCGGCCATCACATGGTGGGCAGGGAGTAGCAGCGCGCCAAGGACGAGCAGTGCCGCCCGGACTACAGCCGCGGAGCTCCTCATCTCTGACTAATAATTTTCCTGTCAACCAAGGTGTATCGATCCCTGGTAGTATAAGCACAAGCACTATACTAGCTAAATTCAGAATGGACTGGGTGATCAGACGTGTCCCGCCACGGGCTAATTTATAAGGGGGCGTGGGCTCTGTTTGCCCGGTTGCCAGTTGACCTGACAAGCAGCGCGGCGCGGCCAAACCAGATACCGTTCACAGTTAATGCAGAGGGCGTCTCGGAAGTTCAATCTGCTTGCTGTCATTTTGTCTGTACTACAACGGTAACTTTTTTCTTTCTTGGGATTCATCGTTTGGAAAGTGTGATGATATGATGATGAATTTCAAGATGTGGTTTTCGGTGCAGACAAATCGATCCGTTCGTGAGAATGCGCGCGGCTCCTTGGGTTAAGCGCAGAGCTTCCACTTCATTTGACTTCACCGTAGTTGCTGCGATGATGGTTGCGCCTTTCTTCGGCAGCAGCTTCGCATGCCGTCGGGTAGTTTGTTTAGTCTCGGCAATTAATGCGTAGAGTAACTAAACGATGCCTGTGATGGACAGAGTAACCTGCCAGGTTGCTTCGTCGGATTCTGTTCCGGTGTGTCAGGTTCTAGCACGACGCGTCCCTGCTCGGATGGATTGTCGGTGATGCCACACGTAGATCATGGATCCTGGCGCTGACCGTTTAAATCTGAGGAAATTGCACAAGCCATCTACTATTGGTATTAGTGTTGCACAAAAGAAACACCACATATTATGGTAACTCGTTGCAGATACGTCTAAATCATCATTTAGGTGTGTTAGACATGATTCATGACAAGTGGGTCCAGTATGTAAGTGCATCGGTGGCATAAAAAACCGGCCACATCAGCAGCCAACTAGATATGTCAATTTCACAATCCTTTGCTCCGATTGAGCCGAATTTTTCCCAGAAGATTAGTGAGCGCATGTATGATTTAGTGGATTATTTCCCCATTTTTTTGAAAAAGTTTAATTTTGAAAGAAATTTTTTTGAACGGGCCAACTAACATTACAAATATCTTACAAACTGTTGGTCCAGATGAGCTGCGTTTTTCCCATATTAGTATTGGATACATGTGTGATTTACTGAAATTGTTTATCATTTATTTGAAAATTTTGAATTTTGAGCAGAAAAAATATATGAGCCATTGTAAACTGCCAATATCTCATTATAATGTGAACCAAATAAGCTGAAGCTTTTCTAGATTCATTACTTGTTACATCTAGCTAGTACCACACCACAAACTTTCATGTGAGTAAACATAAGCTTGCTATATAACTAAAAAGATTCATAAATAGCCACATTATTCATAAAATAAGATCAGCATAGCACCAAAACATGGCAGATGTTGTTGCCATCAGGCTTTAGCATCCAACTAGTTGCCACATGCCCATTACAAACATCATCAAGTTTCACACACCAAAATATTGAGCCTCCCAAAATATTACTATCATGAGGTTTTAGCATCCTAATACTTCCCAAGTTGCAATATGGCCATTACGTACTACTATACGACATTCATTATTGTCAAGGCTGGTTGGGCTCCATCACCGACGGACACTTCGCCAGCAAGGGACGGCCGCCGCGACATTCTCTTCTGTGTGAGGTCATGGCTCGCTCGAGTCGGAGGAGAAAGAGAGGTGAGATGGTTCTGTGTGCGTATGGACATGGGCTTTCGGCCGACTTGTTCACTGTTTTTTTACTTTGTCTATTTCTTACTCGGTCCATCTACTCGCTGATGTGGCCGTTTTTTGCCACCGGTGCACTTGCAAACTGGACCCACTTGTCACAAATCGTGTCGACACATCCAAATGGTGGATCAGATCTATCTGCAACGAATTACCCCAATATATGGTGTTTTGTGCAACAAACCTATAAAGTAGGTGTTCTGTGCAAAATTAGCACCAAAAGTAGGTGGTTTGTGCAATTTCATCTTTAAAGCTTCTCTCATCTTCCAGGTCGAGGAAATTGCAAAATAACATCACACCTGGCTTTTTTTATAAATAGTCTAGATTGCTTACCACATATGTCACGTGGTCACACTTGAGATTAGTGTTTAAAAATTCACAAGTCAGCTTATTTTCCCCATACTAAGCTTCTCCCTTGTTTCAAACCCTACATAAAGGACAGAAGCAAAAATATAAGTTACACAAAGTCCAAGGCCTGGGAAGAGGGACATAGGAGCATCATGGTCCTATATATACAAAAGAGCTAGAAAACGAAATATCCCTTTTCTGCTCGAGCTCATATGCATTTTTTGAGTGCTTGATAAGCTTCATCATGGAATGATATTCGTAGAAGTTGTGGCAAAAAAACAAAATCAACACTCCGAAATACTTTTAAAAATAACATTTTGGAGCACTGATTTTGTTTTTTCCCACAACTTCCACGAATGGTATTTCATGATAGAACTTTGCAAGCACTCAAAACATTCATCAATGTTTTTCACAAAAACAATTCAGATTCTTTTGAATTATTTTTATTTTTTTATTGTTCATCCAAGCTCATATGAGCTTGAGTTGAGATAGTATGTGTCCAAGAGAAAGAGGATATCTTACACAAGAGAAAGTGAAGGAAATATGCCCTAGAGGCAATAATAAAGTTGTTATTTTATATTCCCTTATATCATGATAAATGTTTATTATTCATACTAGAACTTTATTAACCGGAAACTTGATACATGTGTGGACACATAGACAAAATAACGTGTCCCCAGTAAGCCTCTACTAGACTAGCTCGTTAATCAAAGATGGTTAAGTTTCCTAACCATAGACATGTGTTGTCATTTGATGAATGGGACCACATCATTAGGAGAATGATGTGATGGACAAGACCCATCCGTTAGCTTAGCATAATGATCATTTAGTTTTATTGCTATTGCTTTCTTCATGAGTAATACATGTTCCTCTGACTATGAGATTATGCAACTCCCAAATACCGGAGGAACACCTTGTGTGCTATCAAATGTCACAACGTAACTGGGTGATTATAAAGATGCTCTACAGGTGTCTCCGGTGGTGTTTATTGAGTTGGCATAGATCAAGATTAGGATTTGTCACTCCGTATATCGGAGAGGTATCTCTGGGCCCTCTCGGTAATGCACATCACTATGAGCCTTGCAAGCAATGTGACTATTGAGTTAGTTACGGGATGATGCATTACGGAACGAGTAAAGAGAGTTGACGGTAACGAGATTGAACTAGGTATGATGATATCGACGATCGAATCTCGGGCAAGTAACATACTGATGACAAAAGGGAATAACGTATGTTGTTATGCGGTTTGACCAACAAAGATCTTCGTAGAATATGTAGGAGCCAATATGAGCATCAGGTTCCGCTATTGGTTATTAACTGGAGATGTGTCTCGGTCATGTCTACAAAGTTCTCGAACCCGTAGGGTCCGCACGCTTAACGTTCGATGGCGATTTGTATTATGAGTTATGTGATTTGATGACCGAAGTTTGTTCGGAGTCCCGGATGAGATCACAGACATGACGAGGAGTCTCTAAATGGTCGAGAGGTAAAGATTCATATATTGGAAGGTTGCATTTGGACATTAGAATGGTTCCGAGACATTCGAGCATTTTTCCGGAGTACGAGGAGGTTACCGAAACCCCTCGGGAAGTTAATGGGCCTTAGTGGGTTTTAGTGGAGAGAGGTAAGAAGGTCCACGAGGTGGCGCGTGCCTCCCCCCTGCCCAAACCGAATTGGACAAGGGGCGGGGGCGCGGCTCCCTCCTTCCTTTCCCTCCGGTGGAAGAAAGGAAAAGGAGGGATCCTACTTGGACTAGGAGTCCAAGTAGGACTCCCCCCTAGCGTGCCCCTCCTGGCTGGCCTCCTCTCTCACTCCCTCCTTTATATATGTGGCCAAGGGGCACCCCAATAGCACAACATACAATCTCTTATCCGTGTGTGGTGCCCCCTCCACAGTTCAACACCTTGGTCATATCGTCGTAGTGCTTAGGTGAAGCCCTGCGCCGGTAACTTCATCATCACCGTCGCCACGCCGTCGTGCCGACGGAACTCTCCCTCATACTCAACTGGATCAAGAGCTCGAGGGACGTCATCGTGCTAAACGTGTGTTGAACACAAAGGTGTCATACGTTCGGTACTTGGATCGGTTGGATCGTGAAGACGTTCGACTACATCAACTGTGTTACTAAACGCTTGCGCTTTCGGTCTATGAGGGTACGTGGACACACACTCCCCTCTCATTTCTATGCATCTCCTAGATAGATCTTGCGTGATCGTAGGAATTTTTTTTGAATTACTACGTTCCCCAACAGTGGCATCAGAGCCGGGTCTACGCATAGATGATAGATGCATGAGTAGAACACAAAGAGTTGTGGGTGATAATAGTCATACTGCTTACCACCAACGTCTTACTTTGATTGGGCGGTATTGTTGGATGAAGCGGACCGGACCAACATTACATGACCACATTCATGAGACTGGTTCTACCGACGTGCTTCGCACACAGGTGGCTGGCGGGTGTTTGTTTCTCCAACTTTAGTTGAATCGAGTTTGACTATGGCCGGTCCCTGTTGAAGGTTAAAACATCACACTTGACAAAAAATCATTGTGGTTTTAATGCGTAGATAAGAACGGTTCTTGCTAGAAGCCCGTAGCAGCCACGTAAAACTTGCAACAACAAAGTAGAGGACGTCTAACTTGTTTTCGCAGGGGATGTTGTGATGTGATATGGTCAAGACGTGATGAGATATAAATTGTTGTATGAGATGATCATGTTTTGTATAAGTTATCGGCAACTGGCAGGATCTTTATGGTCGTCGCTTTATTGTATGAAATGCAATCGCCATGTAATTGCTTTACTTTGTCACTAAGCGGTAGCGATAGTCGTGGAAGCAATAGTTGGCGAGACGACAACGATGCTACAATGGAGATCAAGATGTCAAGCTGGTGACGATGGATATCATGACGGTGCTTTGGAGATGTAGATCAAAGGCACAAGATGATGATGGCCATATTA